ATCAATTATTCAAAGCTGTCTAATATTGGCCAGAATTCAGAAGAAAATCCATCTCTCCGCCTTTTTAGAAAGACTCAGGAAGGCCTTAATTAAATACACCCCCATCCACCCTGACACCCTTGAAGGGGAAACCCTCTTAAAGGATAAATTTATAACTCAGGCTGCCCCAGATATCTGCAGGAAATAACAAAAATTGGCTATTGGTCCTGAAGGCACCTTGGACCAGTTACTCAAGGTGGCCAACACTCTTTTATAATCGGGACCTAGAGGAAGCCCAGGATAAGGAGAAAAAAAATAAAGAAAAAGGTGGAAATATTGACGGCTGCCCTGCAGATTACAACCCAAAAGGGTGCCCAGGGGAAGTCCAACTGTCGCCATTGTGGACAATCCGGACACTGGATAAAGGATTGCCCATGGCCATTGGGGCCAGCCCCAAAGCCTCCATGGCCCTGTACCATCTGCAAAGGGGATCACTGGAAAGCAGATTGTCCTAGGAGACCTCTGCCCCCGAGGCCAGCCTATTATTAGCCAGACTCCCACACGGGACTGAAGGGGCCTGGGGCTTCTAACAGTGGCTCCTACATCCCATCTCATCATCGGGACTCCTGAGCCCCGGGTAACCCTAGAAGTAAAAGAAAAATAATCTATCGCTTTCCTTCTTGATACAGAAGCCACCTTCTCCATCCTCCTCTCCAATCCAGGGACCTCTCTAATTGACATGTTACAGTCAGCGGAGTCATGGGCAATCCCATTACTAAATATTTTTCTCAGCCCTTAGGCTGCATATGGGGTGACCTAATGTTCTCCCATCATTTTTAATCATCATGCCAGAAAGCCCTACCCCTCTATTAGGAAGAGACATTATGACGGCGATGGGAACAATTGTTCTCTTAGCCCCTGAAAGCATTCGTAGCTGCCTCCCAGTAGTAGAAACCAACATCAACCCTGATGTTTGGGCCTTAGAAGGGACTATTGGTTGCGCCCTAACAGCCACTCCAGTCCATATACGTCGGAAAGACCCCACTCTATTTCCTTGCCGAAAACAATATCCTTTAAAGCCTGAGACAAGGAAAGGAATCATCCCCATCATTAACAATCTCAAACGGCAGGGACTTCTCAGAGAATGCATTTTAGGTGTTTCCAAGCCCAATGGAGAATGGAGACTAGTTCAAGATCTCCAAGCGATTAACGAGGCAGTAGTCCTATACACCCTATGGTTCCAAATCCTTACACACTCCTAACCCAAATACCTGAAATTGCCAAATGCTTTACAGTATTAGATCTAAAGGATGCCTTTTTCTGCATATCCGTGCACCCTGACTCACAATATCTCTTTGCCTTTGAGGATCCTGAAAGCCAGACTTCACAACTCACCTGGACAGGTCTCAGGCGTTTAGAGATAGTCCACACCTCTTTGGACAGGCTCTCTCCAGGGACCTGTCAGAGTTTTCCTACAACAGCTGTACTCTTTTACAATATGTTGATGATCTTTTATTATGTGCTCCATCTGAAGACCTCATCAGTCAAGGAACTACTGCCCTTCTAAATTTTCTAGCCTCTAAGGGTTACAAAGTTTCCAAGACTAAGGCCCAAATGTGTCAGATTTCTGTCAAATACCTTGGGCTAATTATCTCTGCAGGAACTAGGGCCCTAGGAGAGGACAGAATCCATCCCATCTCCACGTATCCCTTACCTAAGACTCTCAAACAACTAAGAGGCTTCCTAGGCATTACTGGTTATTGTCGCCTACGGATGCCAGGATATGGAGAAATGGTCTGTCCTCTCTACCAACTAATTAAAGACACTCAAAATGCAAATACTCATCTATTGCTTTGGAGCTTAGAAGCTGAACAAGATTTCAGCCTTTTAAAATGAGCACTATTTAGTGCCCCAGCCTTAAGCCTTCTACAGGAAAATCCTTTCATTTATATATAACAGAGAGAAAGGGAATATCTTTAGGAGTCCTAACACAACCCAGGGGGACCCTCAAAGCAACCAGTAGGCTATTTAAGGAACTAGACCTCGTAGCACACAGCTGGCCAGTTCGCCTTCGGGCCATAGCTGCAGCTGCCCTCCTGGTTCCTGAAGCTACCAAGATCACAATTGGGTAAGCCCTAACCATTTTCGCTCCCCCACCACATTCAAGGGCTTTTAAATACTAATAATAGTCACTGGCTTACAGACAGCCACCTCTTAAGATACCAGGCTCTTTTGCTAGAAGGTCCCCTCCTCCAAATACGAACTTGCTCCTCTCTCAGTCCAGCCACATTCCTCCCCGAGATGGGGGAAGAACTAACCCATACATGCTAACAAGTTTTATCACAAACCTATGCTGCCATAGCAGACTTACAAGAAATACCCCTAGACAACCCAGATTGGACGATCTTCACTGATGGGAGCTCTTTTATAGAAAATGGCATACGGAAGGCTGGATATGCTGTTGTTACTTTACATAATATCCTACAAAATGCAAGCCCTGCCCTCTGGAGCCAGTGCACAACTAGCTGAGCTAATAGCTCTTACTCGAGCATTGGAGCTGAGTAAAGGAAAAAGAGCCAATATATATACTGATTCAAAACATGCCTTCTTAGTATTACATGCCCATGGCAGCATTTGGAAAGAAAGAGACTTCTTAACAGCTACAGGGTCGCCCATCAAATATCACCAGGAGATTAACAAACTGCTACAGACAGTACATTCTCCTCAAGAAATAGCTGTCATACATTATAAGGGACACCAAAGGGGAAATGATAAGATCTCTGAAGCCAACAGGTTAGCAGACCAAGCAGCTAAGAATGCTGCCAAACTAGGTCTCAACCCTACATTAGCTCCTCTAGTCTGGGATGGGCCCATAACCCAGGTCAAGCCTCATCAGATTAGATATTGCAGGATCCCAGCTGCAACAGCAATATACATTTATTTAGTCCAGCTGAATATATATATTTATCTCTTTTTGTAATGTGTGCCATGACTGTTGCTTTAAATGTAGAATTTGGTTACATGGCTTGTGCAATGGCAAAAGCCCTTAACATAACCTCACAGGCCATCCATGCTATGGGACAGGAATTGAGACAAGTTAGAGAAGCCGTCCTTGAAAACAGGGCTGCTATAGATTATCTGCTCCTCAAACATAACCAAGGATGTGAAAGTTTCAAAGGATTATGTTGTTTCAATTTGTCTGATTATTCCCACTTATTCGAAGATAAAGCCCAACAACTTCATAATATAGTTTCTAACATCTAACAAAGAACTGGATTCTTTAACCTAGATCTTTCCTTCCTTACATCCTGGCTCCCCAACCTAACAGGACTTAAGGAAGCATTTCTCATTGTCTTTTTATTCATTATTTTAGGAATTACTTCATGCTGTTGCCTGCAATTCATCTCTGCTTGCAGACCACTCACCAGTTGTCTATGTCGGCCTAAACCACCAAAACAACTACACCTTCAGCTGCTCATTTACCGGGGACCCTTTAGATAGACCTCTGAGCAAGCCCTGGCCACCGGTCCCTCTCTATGTCCCTCTTCAGCCTGAAGTAGACAGAGTGGTCATCGCCCCCATTCCCTAACAGCAGTTAGAGTTTCGCTTTCAGAGGGGGGAATAAGACAGGTTAGTATAATATCAGGCAGTTAGGAATTCCCTGGTAGACTGAGCAAAGATAAGATAAAAAACAAACAAACTGGTCATTCCTTAAATTAGCCATTCCTTTTAAAATTATAGGGTAACTCCCTCATACTGAAATGGAGACATCAGTCATACCCCAGAGCAACAAAGCCATTTTAGGAGGACATTACCAAAGGCCTCCCAAAGGCTTAGCAACAGAACAAACCTGACAAACACCTTAATAACAGGCACCAGTATTTCAGCATGTCCCCTTCCAGGCAGAAAAAAAGCATAAAACTCAAGCTTTTTACCCTAGCTAGTGGATATCCCATTTTCTGGGTACCCCCTCCTGCTCGGGAGCTGTAGCTTTTCTCTTGCTTTAATAAAACTCTCCTCTGCTATACACACTACCTATCTGGTCCGTGTCTCCATTCTTCGGCTTCACGAGACCACGACCCCGTCACAAGAAATATCCTACATCACTCATAAATAGTAACCTAAATTTTAAAGCATTAT